GGGTGATTTTTATATCCATCATTATGAAGGATGCGGGCGGCTATGGCACACGCGTGCTAAAGTCTTGTCCCCCAAAGCGTCGGAGCCGTTGGTCTCTCGTGTCATCATTACTCTGGAGACCGACAACTGACATGCCGAGATGATCGCTCTTAGAGCAACTCCAGCAGGGCCCCTACTTGAGCCCCCATAGCTAAATATGGGGGCTCAGGTAAAAAATCCAACTCCAGCAGGGCCCCTACTACGGACCCAAAATTTGTTGGCCCAACAAAATCTACCCTCTAGACCCCATTGTGGTGGAAGAATGGGGGCTGGCCCCAATCTTTCCTCTGCCGCGCGTGCTGCTACGCCTCCGCCGCGCGGATGCTCCCTTCCCGGCACGGTCTCCCTCCCAGCGTGGCGACTCTCCCCTCCACCCCCTCCGGCGGATGCGGCGGCGCAGGGACGACCCAGATCGATGCGGGCACCCTGCTCCGGCGCCGCCATTGCCGCGTGGATGCTGGCGCGCTGCTCCACCGCCACCGCGTGGGGATGCGGGCGCGCTGCTCCGCCGCCACCGCGTGGGCGAGGAATCGCGGCTTCGGTGCAGGTGCGACCGCCCATCCCCGCCGTCGCTCGGGCACGGCCGTCATCCGCGCCGCTGCACAGGCCTGGTCACTGCTCGCCTTGGTACCGGCTCCATTCTCCCCCATGGCCGACGTCTCCTCCCTTGCCTCCCTCCACTGCGCACGGGCCCGACCACGCCTCCCTCCGATGGGTGACTGCATTGCCCCTGCCGCTCATCCATGCCCTATGTGTGTGGAGAGGATGAGGGGAAGAAAGGCATGGCTCAATGACACACGGGTCCCAATTGTCATTGGCTGCTGATATGGATTTGGGGGGCTTTGTTTTGGGGCTGCTGCTGGAGTAGAAGAGATTTATTGGGCCAATAAAAGTTGGGGTCAGCACCCAAATAAAAAGTAGGGGCTCTGTTTTTGGGGCTAGTGCTGGAGATGCTCTTACCTGTTCATTTGACGAAAATCGAGGGGTTCATTTTTCGGAAGTGAAACAGCATGAGAGGTTTTTAGAAACATTTCCATAATTTTGGAATAATGGCTGGAAAATATTTTTGGCTGGATATTCCAAACTTAAAACTAGGCCATGCCCGGCAGGCCTTGCCTGCAGACGAACACTAGTCGGGTAACGCCCGCGTTAATCTTGGGGTAACAGTCATTGGCTGAACATTCCAAGGTCTTAAAGCCGGGCCATGCCCGCCAGGCCCTGCCTGTACTATCTAGAAGCAGTCGGAATATCACTGCTCTGCTTCCTAGGACCGGGCTATGCCCGCCAGGCCATGCCTGTACCATCTAGAAGCAGTCGAAACCTCACCGTTCTACTTCCTAGGACTTAAAGCTGGGCTATGCCCGCCGGGCCCTGCCTATACGGTTTGGAAGCAGTCGGATAATCTCTATGCTGCTCTCCAGAATTTAAAGTCGAGCCATGCTCGCCAGGCCATGCCTGTACCGTCTAGAAGCAGTCAGAACATCACCACTCTACTCTTTAGGACTTAAAGCCGGGCCATTCCCGCCAGGCGCCAGCCTGTACCGTCCAGAAGCAGTCGGAACATCACCGCTCTGCTCTCTTGGACTTAAAGCTAGGCCATGCCTGCTAGGCACTAGCCTGTACTGTCTAGAAGCAGTCGGAACATCCCCACTCTGCTCTCTAGGACTTAAAGCCAGGCCATGCCCGCCAGGCGCCAGCCTGTACTGTCCGGAAGCAGTCGGAACATCACCGTTCTACTTCCTAGGACTTAAAGCCGGGCCATGCCCGCTAGGCCTTGCCTGTACCGTCTAGAAGCAGTCGGAATGTCACCGCTCTATTCTCTAGGACTTAAAGCCGATCCATGCTCGCCAGGCTCTACCTATACGGTTCGGAAGCAGTCGGATAATCTCTACACTGCTCTCCAGAATTCCAAGTCGGGCCACGCCCGCTAGGCTTTGCCTGAACCGTTCGGAAGTAGTCAGATAATCTTCACACTGTTTTCCAGAACAGTGCCCGCCAGGCTTTTGCCTGTAACAGTCCGAAAATGACCAGATAATCTCTGTGTTGTTTTTCATGGTTTTTTCTTGTTAAAAGCATCATTCAATTTATGGAACAAATTGAATAATGCTCGGGGGCTTCTACCGTGGATATCACGATGGAGTTTCAGTTTGGATAGATAACACCATGGTGCAGTACCAGGTGTTCTATTGACCAGATCAAGATGGGTTGACTCAAAGCAGGGTGCCACATCCGCAAGGAAGCACTCGACAGGCAGTTGAACCACTCGGGTAGTCGGGCGACAAAATGGAGAATGCCAGAAGTCGTTCTTGTACCTTTACGCATATCCTGTACTAAATGCTGTAATTAGACGGTGTTAGTACAGTGCAGAATAAGCTTTCAACGACATATCAATTAGGCGGTTATTAGTAACGGGCTATTTACTCAGCTGTTACTAATAACCGCAACCCATTGATCATCCTTAACTCTTCTTGAATTATAAAAGGAGGGTGTGGTTGATTTGGGAGATGGTTTGACATTCGGAGGTTGGATGTTCAGAATCTAGACTAAACTATTCTCATAATACACACACACAAACACAGGAAGTAGGGTATTACCTCTTCGTAGGGCCTGAACCTGTATAAACTTTTGTGTCTTTTGAGCCATTGCCTACGTGAGATCCCGCAACCTTCAGAATCTTTACTATCGAGGAATTCGCCTTGACAAGTCTAGAGGGCAGGTGCGTGATCTAGTCCTAGTCGGATACGATAGAATAGATCTAATCCTATTACAAAGATTGCCTTCCTTAGATCCGAGTAGGTTGAGTTCTTCATAGTTGCGGACTCCATGCCACTATGCCACGTGTCCTCTAGCTATCATTGGCCGGCCAATCTCCTCTAGGAGTAGTCAGTCCTTTGGGGAACCCTTAGTATCTATGTCTGTCAAGCCCCCAAGCTCTTCATGGTTGAACTTCAAAACCTTCTTGAATCTCTAGGTCTTTGCCGAGTAGAATTAAGCAGCATCCAAGTACTTCTCTTGAATCTCAAGGTCGTTGCCGAGTAGCTTCAAGTGATATCCGAGTAATCTTTTTGACGAAAACCATGAAGTCCTTCAAAAAAACTTTGAAAATTTCCTCAATGAGGGTGCGCTTTCTTGCAAAGTGCACCCATGGGTGTAGCCCCGGAGCCTCTTGCTGTTTAGCATAAATAACTTGAGGTTCTTTGCATGATCTTGCTTCTTTAAGAAAAAATTTAACACATCCGTTAAGGACATGTATCCCGTAGCCCCCCTAGCCTTAAACTGACTACATTTAGTCAATTGAAGGGTCTGAGACATCCTCGAGGGTACTGCCGTGTAACCTCCTCAAGATAATGGTCATTGACGGCTCATCTTAAGTGGTTTGTTTTTCCGAGTAACCTCCACAAGACAATGATCAAAGACCTCTTGTCATTGAGTGGTTAAAATACCTCCTGGCAAGCTAATTAACCAACCAGTGGTAGCATTGTCTTCAATTTTAGTCTTCCACCTGAATAAATTGAAATCCAGAATTTTCCAAGCCCTCGGGCTTAATTTCAGGAATTAAGTCTTAATCCTGGCTTATAATATTTGAGAATCATAATCAAATCATGATTTATCTGAATAAATCACATCTTGATCGTGAAAAACAACCGCCGCGATACTGATATTCACATCACGGACCTCTCAGCCTGACGAGTGGTAAAAAATATCCAACCGTTAGCCTCCCAACGATAAAAATTCTGCTTAGTGGCGCAACGGTTACTTTCTGGGAGACGAAACCTTCCGTTATATTCCTTATAAATAGCGCGTCCTAGTAAAAAGATATTCACCAAATCTTCACTACAATCCAGCCTCCTTGCCTTCACCTTCCCTGCACCAAACTCTCACGCCGCCAAGCCCTAACCCAACTCATCCTCATCAGTGCATGCGAGTAAAGCTCCGCGCCCACATTAGAAAAATGGGAAACAAGAAAGGTTCTAGCGAAGGCACCGCGAAGGAGGGGAAGAAGTTGGAGAAGCCAGTGCAGACAAAGCCGCCAAGTCCGTAGCTCTCCTGGGAGCAGACAAAGACCACCGAGGCCGAGCACCTCAACCTAGTTGAAGAGGGTATGCTCCCAAGCAAAATCCTTGGCGAGTGGAGAGTACCATGTAAGCACCGATATCCAGCTCCATCACATGGCGAGATTGTTGTTTTTTCTTCCTTTTTCGAGTGCAGATTTGGTCTCCCCTCTTCTGACTTCTTCAGAGGTCTTCTTCACCACTGCTCGATAACCTTGAATCATCTCAATCCAAACTCCATTGCTCATATTTCCATTTTTGTCCATCTGTGTGAAACTTTTCTCAGCATTCCGCCGCCAAGTTTCACCTGTTAAAATACCTTTTTTCATCTCAAGCCCCAGCCGAATTCCACATCTCCCTGCCATAGTCGGTGGGGCAGGATTCCAACTCCGTATTGGTGTCAAGGATGAGTATCTTCAGTATACTCTTCCTGACACCATTAAGGGCTGGAAATGTGGTTGGTTCTACATGGCCAACCACATCCCTTCTCTTGTTGAGGCTTCGGGCTTCTCTCCGGTTGCCAATCTTCGTTGGAAGGAGAGCGTCTCTGATTGTGAGAAAAAATTTATTGCACCACTCCTCCAACAAAGTGGTTGTCTCAAAGAAACCGGTGTAACAACAGCCATAATAGTCGCCAGCTGGCTCAAACGTCGAATCCAGCCACTACAGTCAAGAGGGTTCGAGTATCATGGAGCCCGTGATCCTACTCGACCATCTGTTGCCGAGTTGTCCGAGGACCAGATACTCACCCGCCTCATTCGGATCTTGCCGGATGTGGTGAGTATGACGCTGTCCTTTCTCGAGTTCAGCATGACAAATCCTCCTCCAGCTAATCCTCAAGTTCTTGATTTGTAATATTGTTGACTTTATCTTTCTGACTCTGTCTTCGCTTGTCTGCTTGTAGAGCCTTTAGATGAGCTTCGTAGACCTGCCGACGGTGCCCTTCCCTCCCAATGAAGGAGTTGAGCCACGCTCGAATAGGAGACCCGAGGCTGTCGTGCCAGAGACTCCAGGGTAGATTTCTTTTGGGATTGAGTCATCCTCAACAGAGACTGACCCACTATTGGGGCGCAGAGGAGAAATTGAAGATGAGGGGACGAGTAGCAAGTGTTCCCATAGCCCTATCATCGAGGATGTGGGCTCATCTTTGCCGAAGAAGAAGCGCACCCATAGTTGGAAGGTGCCAATCAGAACAACAAAGCTTATCATGCCTTCAACGGAGAAACCGACGAGTAGCCCTTCAGCAGCACCGAGTACCAAGCTGCCTGGTAAGTTCTCTTCGAAAACACCTTCCATTGTAGTCTTTAATGACCATGTCTTGTTTTGTTAGTGGATTCGCCTGAACTGAGGCCAAAGGTGACGTTGTCATTCAAGTTCTTGAGAACCAAGCTTTCTATCCGCTGAAAGAACTTTCTTTCATGAAATACTCTGTTTTGTGTTTGACAGCCTCCGACTAATATATTTGTTGTCTTTAGAGTTTCGCAGGATACTGTGATTGAGCACAATCCTTCCGGTGGGCAAGAAGTCGAAGCTTGCGGGAAGGATCCCGAAGTGGCCCAAGCCCTGCAGCCTTCCCTGCCCTGTCGGGTGACCAAGGCAGGGCGGCGATGGAATTAGTCGTCCTCGTGCTGTCCATCAGCCAAGAAGCTCAGACATCGACTGTGGATGGCACAACTGGCAAGGACTAGCAAGCAACGATCACAACTATAACACCCTAAAATTTGCTACTTTTTGCTACTTTCTAAAAAGAGTAAAATGATTTCTGTTAATTGTTTTATGCTCATAAAAACATAGAGAGAAGAAAAATTTTCTTTGAATTAAAATCCAACATAAGGGTAGCAACATGTTTGCACATACATGCTATTGCATCGGTACTTTTATGATGAGTGGTTTGGAAAATAAATTTAAATCTCAATCTTTAAAATATTATTTTTAAGTAGTGGTTTAAAAAGAATTTGAAAACTTACGAAAACAAAAGTTAGATAAGATGCTTTGTTTTCAAAATCCAAAGGCTTGGAAAAGGATTTGAGATGCGTTAGAACGATGCCTCTCTTTCCGGGAATCTTTCGGATCTTTTTCGGGATTAAATTCCTATTTCTTGGAGCTTTGTCTTTTTTTATCATTCCAAAAGTCTTTTCAGGAGCTAAAACCACTTTGATTGTGTTCCTCATCCTTCAATCTATCTCTAAAATTTTTTCTAGAATTTTTCGGAGCTCCGGGATATTTTTCGGTTAAAAATAATAAATATCTCGAATTTTCAAAATCTCCAAACCCCACATATAAATACATGCCGGTGTTCTCTCGACGCAAGGGTTCCAGTACGATCCGTTTTCCTAGCCGGCGCTCGTAGCCACCTACGTCTATCGCTGAAGTGTGGAAAAGCTAGGTTTCCGGCGAACTCTTCGGCGAGCTATTCCGACCAAACCGTCATGTTCCGGCGTCGACCACCACCACCATGAGGTAGGCCTCTTCGTCCTCTATGCTGTCATGTCTTTCTTTTCACGAATCCATGTTCGTTTGATCATTTTCCTAACTATTCTTTGTCTTCTCCGGCGAGGACCTCCATTGCCGGCTCCGTTTCTTCTTCTTTCGGCCCTTGGCCGTGTCACTGCAGCTGCGCCCCAGCCCCGGGCCCCACCTGCGCCACCACCATGCCCCCAGCGCGCCGCTAGCCGCGCCGAAGCCCGCTGTGCTGGAGCCGCGGCCGGGCACGCCCTGCTGCCTAGACCGCCACAACGTCTCCGTCCCTTTCCGACGACACGACGCTGTGAGCCGCATCGAACCCCGACCCCGACCATGCCGCCGCACCACTGCGCCATCCCCCAGCCCGGCCGAGCGCCGCCCAGCCGCGCCCCTCTCCCCTGCGTGCGAGCACAGTAGCATCCTTGGCTGGCCTACCTGTACGTGCTGTCCAAGGAAGAAGATGATACTATTTACGAGTTTGCTTATATTTCCATCACCGTTTTTCCATTTTAATTCTGTTTTAAGTGGTTCAAGTTGCATTAGATTCATGTCACCAAGATTTATGCAGTAGAGTTATTAGTTTTCATGTCACATGTTTATGAATTTATTTTGATTAAAATATTAATTCAGTTTATAATTATTTAATCGCTATTTAATTAAAATCAATTTATGTTTTTAATTTCGTTTCAATTGCGCTGGTTTCATCGCAACGTTTGATACGCGTTCATGACGGTGTATTCCATGTTACCTTCTTACGCTTTTATAATTAAATATTAATTCGATTAACATTTATTTAATAGTCTTTTTAATTAAAATCAATCTAGTTTTTATTTCCGTTTCCGATCTACGTTTGCTTTGTAACATTGTATGCTAGGCGATGGCGAAGTTATATACCATGTCCCATGGTTATAGTTTTCAACACAAATGTTAATTGGATTGATATTAGTGCTCACATCGTTTTCCGAATTAAAAGCAATATAGGGTTTTATCGCTTGGTCTTTCATAATTAAATACTAACATGATTAATAACGATCCAACTTGGTTTGTAATAATAATTTGCTTAGTCAAACCCGTTGCATACGATAAACTTGTTTAGGTGCTCTCACGTTTACTTTTCTTTTGCAAAATTAATGTTTAACTTGCTTAAAGTATACCATCAATGTTTTAAATAAAATATGATTAGCTCTTTCTCCGGCTTTATGAATTCAAATTCAAACTTGATTAAATTAACTTAGTGATATTTCTCTGGAAATATCTGGTACACTCTTTTGCTAAATTAAAGATAAACACAGCCAACGGTCGTTGTTTTCCTGCCCATAATACAAACTTCCAGTAGTTGTTTCTTTTCAACCGTGGCTCTGTTCTCGGTGTTTCTTGTTGTGTTGTGCCTGTGTCGATCGAAGTTACGTGTTAGCAAGCGAAGTTAACATGTCTCGTACCTCTGAGTTTTGTAAGTTAAATATTAACTGGGTTAATGTTTATGCAACCAGTTTGTAATTAAAAGCAACTTAGGCGTATGCATTGGTCTTTCATCAATAAATGTTAATATGATTAATATCAACCTTAATGCCTTTTTAATTGTAACATGCTTAGTTCGACCTCGAAACATAAGTGTTTTCGCTTAGCTTTTGTCACTCGTTCTTTATCTTTCAAGTTAAGTGTTTAAATGACTTAAATGATATATAATCATTTATAACTAAAATTATGACTAATGTTTAAGCTCGCCTTTTCTAATTAAAACTTAATTTGACTTAATTCAACTTTAGGATGTTTCTCTGAAATGTCCATTACCTTGTTTATTAAATAAAATAAATCAAGCATATAGTTTGTTCTCCGTGTTAATGCGAATCCCGATAGAGCATCCTTTACACCGATAGTCTCATTTTTGGCGTTCTCGTGTTCTCGTATCCGTTGCAACGAGCCCTCTCTTTTAGTACGTTGTTTTCAAAACTTTTACTTGATTGGTGTATTGTTTTTAGTTATCTCTATTTGTTTGCTTATATGTTTGTTGGTGTGCTTGGTTGCTATGATGTGTGAGTAGAAGAAGAGTTGTCTCTAAACGTTGGAGCCTTGAAGCTGAGTGCCAGAGGCTGCAGGGCAGAAGATGAAGATAAAGTTTGAAGATTCTCTGAGCGAGTTGTTTTGGAGGAAAAGCAAGTTAAGGCAAGTATAACAAGAGTATTCCTTATTACCTAATAACCATTTAATCATCTTTTCATGTGCATGTGTCTGACCTGATAAACCCTAAGGACTTTACATAGTACTTATTGATATCTCGTATCCTTGTTACCTATGTGTTTTTCATATGGGTAGACCTGCTTAGTTGCTCTCACCAATTATAATCATTTGGAATATTGATTAATGGATTACGCAACTTGTTATTAAAAGATGTTTTTTAGCAACATGGACAGAAGAGGGCTAGAGCATTGGGCCTTTTTCTTTTGGTGCTCTAGTTTCTCTCCATAAGGACTTTATCTTAAAGTGGTAACCTAGGACTTACAGTACAACCGTGAGAACTACATGGCTCTGGCTTTAGTCAAGTATGAAGTTCTTTCGAGCTTGCTAGTGGTTACCGAAAGGCGCAAATATGGAGCCTAGGTTGTAGAATGGCTTCTTGTCTCTCAGGGTGTGTACAATGCTGCGACCATATGTGCCACTTTGTTAGTGGAGACCCATTCACCTAGCTGCTGAAACCTAGCGGCTACTAACTTGTTAGAGGGACTTTTGAAAGGCTTCATAGTGAACCCTGCCGACTTATTACCTTGGAAGTGGGTCAAGAGGTTGATCACCTCGGGCATATGGGCAACATGACACATGGGTAAAGATGTACAACCTCTGCAGAGTGTCTTAAAACTGTTATAACAGCCGTGCTCTCGGTCATAAGCGGCCAGGATCCTTTTTGAGATAGTTGGTTACCTGGATGGGTTGGTTATTGATTAATGTTGCTACTATCTCTAATCACTTTAACCTTGGGGCTTAAGCACAACCTAGTTACATAGGTTTAATGAATAAAATTTGATCTACTAAAATGCTTACCGCAGTACAGTCATGTCTAACCTTTGAGCCTTCATCCGCTTATGTTGTATTTTTTGAGTACGAAATGTACTTACTCTTGCTATTTCCCACACACCCCAGTCTTTAGTCAAAGTTGCTCAGAAGACCGATGAAGATGCTATAAAGTTCTCTTGAGATAGTTAAAAGTGCTAGGCGTATGTACCTCAGTCAGCTGTCCTTGTGAGGAATGGAGCCTCAAGAGAAGTTTAGTAATCGTTCCGCTATACTCTGATGTTAGTATTAATATAATTATATTTCTGCTTTATAACATTGTTTTTTGATATTATTTCTTTATGTTGCTATATGTGTAGATTTTTTGGATACACATATGAAGAGCCTGCTTTTGTCTTTAAAACCGAATGTGACAACAACCGCGAGTACCCAGCTCATGGAGAGCAGCTAAGGTGCCGTGGGCCCGTCCATGAGAGTCCAGCTCCCTGCGGGCAGTACAGGCCTCGTGGTTGAAGAATTCGGTCCAAAGCTGTCTTTGACAGATACAGATCAAGACTTAGCCCATGCAACTGGGCTCTCGATAGAGACGTATCAGAAATCAACAGAATTCAACTCCGTCTTCAAGGTAACCATCTTGATGATCTTCTTGTTTTCTGTTAGTCGCTTGGTTAAGGACTAACTGAGTAAGTTCTTGTGCACAGGACCTGATATTGAAAGCCTTAGCCTAGGCACAACTTGTTCGTAAAGAGTTGACCACCGAGATCCACACGATCAAGAGGGATCATGATGAGCGGGAAAGGAACTGATTGAACCTCGACGCTCGCAAAGATGACGCAATCACCACCCTTTGCACTAAAGTAGAAGAACTGGGAGAGCGGGAAAAGACTTTGCAGGCCGAGGCTAAGACGTCTAAGAGCCGTTTTTGGGCACTTAGCGCTAAGCTGAAGAGTAAGTCCTCTGAACATATCTTCTTTTGTTATGGAGTTCTTGAATACTCATCTGATTTCTTTTTTGTCTATATTTTGCGGCCGAGAGTGCCAAGGCCGAGAGACTTCAAGCAAACGTCACTGAGTTGAGTAACCAGCTAGACCACAAATATGCGGAATTAGCTGAGGTAAAGAAACAGTAAGCCTTCACTGATGAACAGCTTAAAAAAAACTACTCAGATCCGCCAAGATGCTGACCGCGACCTTGTGCAGGTGATGACGACCATAACTCGGCAGGCAAAGGACATGAAGGAGGTCCAGGAAGGCACCAGACCAGTCATCGGCCTCTTCTACTCGGAAGGCGACAAGAACCGTCCGCTGGCTGATGTCCTGAAGGAGCTGCCTGGGCGGATATCTTCATATATCAAAGAGATGGGCAAGAGCTGCATCCGCGGCTTTAGGACTACTCTAGGTCTACTTTCCTAGTTTAGAACTTAGGAAAATAGTAGACTAGCAGCCGTCATCTTGTACTGACGAGGATCTCGACCGCGCTGAGTGGGAGGTTGAAGATGTAGCCACTGCTTTTATCAACGAACTCGACTTCTCTTCAAGTCTTGTAGTGTTGATATTCTTGAATATACTGCTTCCATTAATTAATGAAAGATTGTCTTCAATTGTTAAATCAATCTGAAATGGTACCCTCCTGAATAGAGTACCTAGAGAGCTTAAGTCTTCGTAGTCGTCTCTTGAATAGGGACTTGGTCGTCCGTTGGATAATCACTTCATGTTTTAATTTTTACCCGAAACTTGCGCCCTCCTGAACAGAGTACTTAGATGGTTTCCTTATAGTATTCTCTTTGAACAGGGGACTTAGTCAACCGTAGGGTAGTCTACCCTTACGCGATGACCCCCGCGTCTTAGCACGATTCCAAGTATATAAGGTTGGCTCTTTTGACAGGAAGCAACCCGTAGGTTATATGTCAGTCTAATTTTCCAACTTCGTCTCGTTGCAGAGACAGGAAATAGTCTTATAGCGCTATATGTCCCTTGTTTGGACAGGAAATAATGGAACTTTGACGCTATATGTCCTTGGTGGCATAATTCGCGACTCATGTTCACTGTATGCCGAGTAGGCAGGAATCAGCGGGCATTAGCCGTTGTATGCGTACTCCTTCGGGTGGCAGGGACAGCACCCTATTGTATGCCGAGTAGTAGAAAATAATGATCTTAAGCCATTATATGCTACATGGGGAGGCAGGGACAGTCTCCGCTATGTGCCGAGTAATAGAAATTAGGGATAGAGCCTCTATATGTTACTCCTTTGTTATGGACAAGAATTAGTGGAGTTTTTTCTGCTATATGTCCTAGGAGATAGGGACAGACCGCTGTGTGCCGAGTTAGCAGGAATCAGGGACAGAGCCTCTATATGCTACTCTTTTGTTTTATTTGTAAACAGATTGTTTGCACCAGATTTTGGAGGACATCAAAATATGGAATTTGGAAAAGCACTGTGAAGACTGCGACAAGGGCGGCATCGGCTCAGGCATGACCAAGTCGGATTCCATCAGAAAGGAAATCGGGGAGTCTAATCTATGTAAATTAGATTATTTTATGAGTAGTCTAGTCGTGTCCGACCAGGACTCTGTATCGGCCCAGAGTATAAACATAAGCCCCGACCATTGTATTAGATTTTTATCTCTCGATCAACACAACTCACTAGTAAAGAAACGACTTTTGATCCACTTCGAAATTTGGCTTTAGTCCTGATATTTTTTACGCCCGGGACTAGAGAAACCTTTAGTCCCGGTTGGTAACTCCAACCGGGATTAAAGGTCCCTGCCCAACGGCTACTGCGGCAGGCTTTTGCTGCAGGGGACCTTTAGTCCCGGTTGGAGCTACCAACCGGGACTAAAGGTTAACTTTTACTCCCAGTTGGTCCCTCCAACCAGAAGTAAAAGTCTACTCCTAGCTGGAGGCTCCGTCCGGAACTAAAAAGGGACCTTTAGTCCCGGTTGCTGTCTCCAACCGGGACTAAAGGTCCCCTCCTATATACCCCTTCTTCCTCCCCGAGCCTGAGCCACTTCGAGCTCAGTGTTCTTGGTTCATCGCCGGCCTCTCTTCTTCCTCATCGCCGGTAATCACAAGATTTCTTCGATTCCTCCATCGATTCTTCGGTTCTAAAGGTTACCAACTTTATAATCTCATGTTTCATCAATAGCATATCTCATTTTGTGGACTAGATATATGTGGTTTTTTATGGTGGATTTTTTAATTTGTAAGCCATTTAAGCTCAAAATCACTTTAAAGTTTGCATATTTGGATGAAGGAAGGTTAAAGTAGTTATTCAAAACTAGTATTCAGCTTTCATTTCTAGCATGCATAGCACACTTCATGGTTTAGAGATATAGAGAATTTTAGAGTTTTTTTTTAATTTTATTTGTTTATAAAATGAGAAATTTATATTATATTAAAAATGAGTATAGAGAGTAGATGGCAACTGCTTCCGGGTCCTCGGCCTCTCATCGGGTTCTAAAGCAACTGAGGCCGGACCTCCCTCTCATTGCATGCGGCAAGTGAGGAGAAGATTGTGATGGAGTACCGGGTGAGGAAGGAGTGTCCCAACAAGGGCCGTATCTTATACAAGTGTCCGGATCGCAATGTGAGTTATTTTGTCGCATTTGATGATTATGATTAATTTATACTTATTTTCATGATGATTGTGATTAAAGTTCTAATTTTTTGTTTTAATTTCAGTGGGATGGCACTGGATGTTCAGGCTGGTACTGGGAGGAAGAGTATGTTGAACACGTGCAAAACTCTCTTGCATAGGCGGCTACGGCGGCTGATGAGGCAGTGATCCTGCGGAAGAAGCCCATAGATGTTGAACAAACGCATGATTTGTCTGTTTTAGTTGGAATTGGTCGCGAAATCCTTATGCTGCTGAAGTGCATTTTAGCTTTAGTTTTTTTAGTGGTAGTTGGGATTGTCTACATTGTAGCGAGACTTTTATAAATTAATACCTTGTGTGGTTGCATGCATGTCGTATAATTAACTAATTATGTTCTAGATTTTAATATGGTATGTATGTCATGTAATGCAGATGAGCCGACATTGGATGTACAATGCTGATCGCCGCTCCCAAGAGTTCATTGAGGGCGTGCATTCTTTCTTACGTGTGGCCGAGGCAAACAAACGCGATGGTTTCATGTGCTGCCCATGTGCCATATGTAATAATTTGAAGGAATATGCTAGCTCAAGGAGTCTTCATTCACACTTGTTGAAGTCGGGTTTCATGCCAAACTATATTTGTTGGACCAAGCACGGAGAAACCGGGGTTGTAATGGAAGAAGGTGAAGAAGAACAATGGGACGATGATGACATTATTGCTGAATATGGTGCCTTCAATGATACTGCAATGGGGGAAGCTAAAGAAGAGGTAGGGGCAGAAGATGAGCCCGCTGATGATCTTGGTCAGGCCATTCGTGACACACAAAGAGAATGCGAAAGTGAAAATGAGAAGATCAAGTTCGAGCGCATGCTAGAGGATCACAAAAAATTGCTATACCCAACTTGTGATGCGGGGCAAAAAAAAAGTTGAGTACCACATTGGAATTGCTGCAATGGAAGGCAAAGAATGGTGTATCTGACAAGGAATTTGGGGAGTTACTGAAAATCCAAAAGAAGATGCTTCCGAAGGATAACGAATTGCCCGCCACTACGTACGAAGCAAAACAGGTAGTCTGCCCTTTGGGATTAGAAATCCAGAAGATACATGCATGTCCTAATGACTGCATCCTCTACCGTGGCGAGGAGTACGAGAAGTTAGATGCATGCCCGGTATGTCATGCATCGCGGTATAAGATCAGGTGAGATGACCCTGGTGATGTTGAGGGCGAACGTCCCACGAAGAAAATCCCTGCCAAGATTATATGGTATGCTCCTATAATACCACGCTTGAAACGTCTGTTCAGAAACAAAGACCATGCAAAGTTGTTGCGATGGCACAAAGAAGACTGTAAGGTAGATAATATGTTGAGACACCCTGCTGATGGGTCCCAGTGGAGAGCAATCGATAGAGAATTCCTGGAGTTTGCAAATGACGTAAGAAACTTAAGGTTTGCTTTAAGTACGGATGGTATGAATCCTTTCGGGGAGCAGAGCAGTAGTCATAGCACTTGGCCTGTTACTCTATGTATCTACAACCTTGCTCCCTGGTTATGCATGAAGCGTAAGTTTATTATGATGCCAGTGCTCATCCAAGGCCCAAGGCAACCTGGCAACGACATTGATGTGTACCTGGTTATTTTGGCTTCACGCCATTGCATTAGGAGTAGGAGTAACGTAGATATCGACGAGTTCTTCGGTAAGCAGGGCTGCATCAGTTTGATCTCCGGTTTGCTTGTAAGTACCGTCAGCGACTAGTATCTAATCTTGTAAGGTTGCATCAGTTAAGTTTGATCTCATGCCTGATTTGGTATTAGTCAAGTTAACGATTCGTATCTAATCTCGTAAGGCTGAATCAGTTAGGTCTGACCTCTTACTAGATTTGATATTAATCAAAGTTATCAATTTAATTATATTTAGTAAGGCTGCATCTTATGACCTCTTGCTAGATTTAGTAAAATCAGTTATCCGACTAGATTAAGACACATCGGCTTACATCTTTCTAATCTGTCGTTTTATTGCGTCATCACGTTAATCTTTAAACCTGACAACAGACTCTGTTTTATCAGCCAATTGTGTCTTAGTCTTAGTCATCCATAGTGTGTTTTTAATTATCTGTTTTACTGTAAATAAATTCATTGGCTGGCAAACTCTAGTTTATTGCCCTGCTGCCAGCGCTGCATCATTTTGACCTGATTGGTGGTGACGATATATTAGACTTTGTTAGTTTATGGATTTACTTGTATGAAAATAAGGAATATATTTCATTCTATGATCTTATCAGTTTTTCTAATCAACCACTTGTGCTTTCATGCTTTACTTAGTATTATAAGATGTATCCATCGGCTCTCTTAGCCGATTGCTTTACTTTATTCACACACGGATGCATGTTGGTACCATCGGACCTCCAGCCGATGGCTTGATACACTCTATCGACTTTCTAGCCGATGGCTCTGTGGGACTGCCAGATCACCAGCCGACATGTTCCACCTTAAACTACTGATTATCTTTTCCCTTGTCAATTGGAGGTCATTTTGACTGGCATGCCCACGACCCTAAAATTGACAGGACCTACACTGGAGCTAAGCAGATCTCCCAGGCTTGTCGTGTGTCCTACGCATTAACAAGAATTTTGCATCGACACATTTTTCTGGCACGCTCGGTGGGACTACAATCGTCAAGATGTCAGATGAGCCAACAACCAACATGTCATATGAGGAGTTGTCTGATGAATAGAAACATATCACAGAAAAGCTGCCAGAAGAGTTCCAGGTCAAGCCGCCTGATTCTGTATTAGGATGGGTTGATCTAGAGAAGAAATT